CCCCCCAGCCCGGCGCCCGGCAGCCACGGGCAAGTGATGGCCGGTGGTGGGAGCCACCCCTGGGTGCCAGTTTGGGTCTGCAGCCAAACCCTGGGGAGGTTCAGCCCTGTCTGGTTTTGGCAGCAGCCTCCCACAGCATCTCCCCAAAGCAGGCATGGACCTGAACACCTTCAAGTACCTCTGCCCACTGCCTGCCCCACGGCAAATCCCCCACGCCGTGGTTTTGGCTTGTCTGCCGGGGCAGAGCCTGCCCCCGCTCTCCCCAGCACCAAACAAAAGGTTCACTTTGCCCAACGTCCTTGTGGGGCTTAGCCGAGTTAAATCTGTCTCAGGGAAGCCAACTTTGCTGATGTTGCTAATCTCGTTGTCATCTGCGTGCCACCTCGAGCAGCTTTGGCCAGGGGCGGCTAAGCTGGCACGGGTCCCCCTGCAGCAGGGGGCTCTCGGGGCCACTCCGGTGGCTCCTCGGGGGGCATCAGGGGTGCCCCTGTGCAGTCGCGCCACTGCCAGGGTCACTGCTGGCTGCAGAGCCAGGGCTGCTTTCATTAATCTCCCCGTCTCTGCTGGCAGCTGCCTTCCCGAAAGCAGCGTTTGAGGATCCCTTGGGGAAGGCGCAGGCGCCAACCGGCCGTCGGAGCCAGCCCTGGACTCCTCCACGTGAGACACAGCCCCGTCCTGCGGCTCAGCCCTTCCCCGTGATCTCCTCTGCCCTTTCGCTGTCATTCAGCCACTCCCAAACCCAGCCTTTGCTCTCGTTGCTCTCCCACGGCCGCAGCCCTGGCTCCTCACCAGCCCTGCTCCATCCCCAGCACCTCTCCCTCCCACCAGCAGCAGCACCCACCCGGGAGGGAGCCGTCCTCTGCCGGGCTCCCCCTCGCCTGGTGGGAAATCACCGCTGGTTTTATCCAAGTCCCCACGTGGGCTTTTCGAGAATTTTAGCTCCCAAAGAAACTCGTCTCAGAGAGGTTTTGGTAGCAGCTCTGGGAACAGAGGCAGCATTTGCTGCAGCTCCCCCCTACCCGTCTGCTTGGAGATCTCCTTTTCGAAGCCTAAAGACAAGGAAACACAACCTTTTAGCTACCTGGAAGCAGGACCCTTGCGGCACACGCAGATTTGCTGGGACGCAGAGGGGTACCCTGGAGTCTCCACATCCCTCAAGCTTCCCCTCCCAAAAGCCTTCTTTGCTCTTGCAGGGGGACGTGTCCTGCATCCCTGCCCCGGCTCACGCCCTTGCATGGGGGACATATCCTGCATCCCTGCCCCGGCTCACGCCCTTGCATGGGGGACACATCCTGCATCC